TCTCTCTCTCTCTCTCTCTCTCATAGTGCTGGTAATTAAACTCAGGGCAATTGAACTTACTAGGCAAGTACTCTTCCAGCCCCCAAAATTTATTCACAGCAAAAGAAAAAAATCAAGAACATGTAAATGAATGCTACAGATGAGAGAAAATCTTTACCACCATTATCTCAGATAAGTCATTAATTTCAGTATATACAAAGAACTCAAAAAAACTTAACACCAGAAAAATAAGTAACCCAACCAATAAATTTAAAAAGGAACAAAACAAACACTTCACAGAAGAAGAAATACTAATGTTCAAAGAATATATGAAAAAAGTTCAATATCTCTAGCAATGCAAATTAAAATACACTGAGATTCCATCTCACTCCACTCAGAATGACAATTATCAAGAATATAAATACTAATGAATGTTGGCAAGGATGTGGGGAAAAAGGTATTCTCATACATCAGTGGTGGATTGCAAATTGATCCAACCAGATTGCAAAGGAGTATGAAAATGCCTTTGAACTGATTGGAATGCAACCACCATTTGACCCAGTTACCCCACTTCTCTTTCTATACCCAAAGGACTTAAAAACAGCATACTAAAGTAACACACCTACATCCATATTTATAGCAGTTCAACTCACAATAGCCAAGCTATGGAAACAACTGAGGTGTCCTTCATGAATGAATGGATAAAGTAAATGTGGTATATATATATACACAATGGAAAGTTACTCCACCATAAAAAAGAATGAATTATGGCATTTTTCAGTAAATGAATTGTACTGGAATATCATGCTGAGTGAAAGAATCCCAGAAAACCAAAGGCCAAATATTCTCTCTGATTTGTAGAGTCTAGCCCAAAGTAAGGGAGTTTGGCAGGGGGATGATAGAAATAGATTGGCAAAATCTTACTAAATTGCATAGGCTGGTTTTGAATCTACTTCAACCTCCCAATTCACAGGGACTTTGGACATGCACCACGATGCCTGATTGAGATTTCACCCCTGCAGAAGGTTATGGTCCTTAAAGATCCTAAATCCTATCAGGGAGATAGTAGGTTATAGCATCCTTGCTTTGACTACAGAAGAGAACAGCTAACCTTGTACTCTGCACCCAGCCTTCTGATGAAAGGTTCCATGTTGCCACCCTATCCTTCCAAGAATTTATGGAAGCAATAAGACTCTCCCTCCATTAATTCCACAGTCGTTAAGCCTTGCTAAGCAGCCAAGAGATGCTGCCTCTTCCCATTGATCATGGAAATACCTGGGAGGTCAACACTAAGCAGCTTGTTCTGCAAAGGCACTAATATAAAAATTGGGCAGCCCTGTGCAGCAAGATAACAGATGCTTCCAAGAAATGCAATAACTCTTCAAGCAATGGGTTCCAAAGAAAAGTAAATAGGAGGGAATAAGGAACATAGAATATGAACTATCAAAAACAAATTAACAGAATGAGAGCATGTGTCTGTCAGTCATATTTGTGAATATAGATTAAATTCTCAACTGCTTTAGATGAATTGAATAGAATAAGAACAAAATAAGGCAAAACAGATTCCATGCAATTCCTTATAAAAATGCCAGTGACATTCTTCACAGAACTAGAAAATACGATCAGAAAATCATAATGGAACCCCAAAAGACCCCAATTATCCAAAGCAAAAGTGAGCAAAATACACAAGTAAATACATAAATAATAAGTAAATAATATAAAAAAGATAAAGCCAGAGACATTACAATACCTGAGTTCAAAACATTCTAATAATAACATAAACAGCATTATATTGGCATAAGGAGGCTATCAGAACAAAGGGCAGAACAAAGAACCTAGAAACATAGCCAGATATTCATGGCAAGCTGATGTTGGACAAAGACAGGAAAAAAACTATGGAAAGTAGAACAATCTCTTCAATAAATGTTGGTTGGAAAACTATGTACGAATGTGCAGAAGAAACTAGACCCATACCTCTCATTGTATGACTCAGAATAGATTGAAGACCTAAACTTAATCCTTAAATCTATGAAACTACTAGAAGAAAGCATAGTGGAAATGCTTCAAAATACTGGTCTGGGAACCTAAAAGCATAGGCTACAAAAGCAATGTTGATAAACATTGCCATAAAATATATACACCTAAATAATATATCTTTGAATAGCCAAAGAATTAATCAACACAATGAACAGGCAACCTGCCTAATAGGAGAAAATATTTGCAAAGTATTCATCTGTATTTCCAGACTATGTAAGGAACTAAATAACAGCAAAAAGTATGCAATCTGATAAAAAATAATAACAATAATTGGAGAATAACAGGAAGAGACATTTCTCAAACAAGATATCCAAATTTTAAAAAATACATTAAAAAATGTTCAACATAGTTAAGATCAGAGAAATTCATATCAAAACCAAATATTAATAACACTTCTCTCTAGATAAAATGGCTGCTCTCAAAAACAACCAAAAAAAATTGGCCTGGTGTGGTGGCACATGCCTATAATTCCAGTGGCTCTGGAGGCTGAGAAAGAAGGATCCAGTGTTTAAAGTCAGCCTCAGCAGAAGGGAAACACTAAGCAACTCAGTGAGACCCTGTTTCCAAATAAAATATAAAATAGGGCTGGGGATGTAGCTCAGTGTTTGAGTGCCCCTAAGTTAAATGCCCAGTACTCTCCGCCGCCCCCAAAGAAAAACAGGTGCTGCTACGGAAAAGAGGATTCTTGTTCAATGCAGATAAGAATGTATTTTAGTATAACCATTATGGAAAACAGTGCAGAGGTTCCTCAAAAATCTGGAAATAGAACACCCATATGTTCCAGCTATCACACTAGTGGGTATATGCAAAGGAACCAAAACCAATATGCTAAAGAGACATCTGCACTGACATCTTTCATGGAGTGTGATTCACAATATTCCATATCTAGAATCAGCTCACGTGCTCATCAATAGATGAAAGGATAAAGAAAATATGTATATATACACAATGGAATATTTTCTAGCTTAATAAACAAATAATGAAAATCTGTCTTGCATAAAAATATAAAGGGAACTGAAGGACATGATGAAAAAACCAGGAACAGAGAGAAACATTCTGCATCTGTCACTTACATGTGGAAGCTAAACATTTTATCCTATCTTAGGCAATAAAAATGAGAATAATGTTTAACAGAGCTTCAGATCAGTAAGAGAGATGGAAATATGAAAACAGGATGGTTAACTGTACAGGTTTGCAATGGAATGAGTAGAACAGCTATAGTTAAAAACAGATATTTCAAAATTGCTTTGAAAGAAAAATTTTAATGTTCCCTAAACCAGAAGTACTATATGTCTTGGCTGATAAATATATCAGTCACCCTGTCTGATCATTACCCATATATATATAAAGGTCATATAAAGCAACAATGGTGGCTGTGCCTACAGTGCCACCTGGTCAGAAGGCTGAGGTAGGAGGATCATTTGAACCAGGAGCTTTAAATCTGCCTGGGCAACATACAAAGACCCAATTGTAAACATAAAAAGAGAAGAATGGAAAAACCATGTTGTATCCCTTTTATATGTATAATTACTAGGTGTAAAATCAAAATCAAAAGCATTTAAAACAAAGGGTCATGGGGACTACAGTTAAATGTTAAATAATGAAAATTTTAAATCATTTAATATTGTTAGTTTATAATAATAAATAATATATAATAGTATATAATAGTAAATAATAATAAATTTATAACCCCCAAATCATCAGAAGGTAGAAATTCACTACTTTCTATATGTCATTATACTTCTCTATTCTTCATTAAGCACATCTCGAATTTCATAGAATTTAAACCATTTATTACTTCAAGAAAACTATCAAATAAAAATAGTTAAATTCCAGGTGAATGTTTGGCTTCTTTTGATTAGCATTATGTGTGTCCATCTAAATTAATATCCAAGATACTTGGATGTGGACTAGGGTTGTAGCTCAGCAGGAGAGCACTTGCCTCGGATGTGTGAAGCCCTGTGTTGGATCCCCAGCATCACATATAAATAAATATATAAATAAATATAATATATATTTATATATTTTATATAAATATATATTTAATATATATTATATATATATTTATATACTCCATATATATTTTATACATTATATATTTTATATATATTTAATATATATTATATATTTATATATTATATATGTATATATGTGTATACATATTATACATACATAATATATTTTAATATATTTCATGTATATTATATATGAAATATATATTTCAAAAATATTATATATGTATTTCATGTATTTATATATATTTATATAAAAATGATGAAGTATTTTTTAAAAAATATTTGGATCATTTCCAACGTGTAATAAATTAATGAAATCTGCATTTACATTACTTAGTCACAATATACACACATTTCAAAGAAATGTGGTTCTTTTTATGGAAGAGACACTAGGGAGAAAATATATTTGGACTTTGCAAAATTACCAGGGGAATACTTACATAGTGGCTGCCTCTGAGACTATGATGTCTCTGTAAAATGAGGAGGGGGGAAGAAAGTAAAAGATTAAAACTGAAATTATGAGCCAGATGAGCTAGATGTGGTGCACAT